CTTCAGTAAACAGTTGCTTATTTAACTTTGATCTTGGCCATCTTTACACATACATTTTATAATTTTTGTTGTTGCTGTTGTTGCTAAAAACCAGATTTGTCAACCTGCTTCGTGTGCTGTGACCAACATGTTATGGACTGGGTGTTAGGTAATCGCCAAGCTGGCCGAATTTTAGACATAATTTCTTCTCTGTGGTGTGCTGGGGGTCCAGGGAAACTGAAAGTATACTGATACTTCTTACCCAATGGCATATGAGAATGTGGTATCTGGAAACTTGAAGGTATTTTAAATTTTATGTCTTTGAGTTCTATACTGAAAAATAAAACTACTACAAACAACTTGACCTGCTTTCCTGCCCTCAAATTATTTAGACCCCAGAATAGTATTTTGTTGTACATATCTGAAAATTATAAATTAAAATTAGTTTTTTTTAACATTATAAAACATTTAAAACGTTATTAGCAGTCCTTTAAAAATATACAGTTCTTCCCGGATGTATTATACTACAACTAATTAAATGCTTTAAAAATCAAATAGTATCTAATTTCTAATTGAAAATACGTTCAGTAACTTGATTTTCATTGTGCTTTGCTTGTGGAAAGTTTAAGGTGCTTTCCCATATCTTATTTGTCTTTGCAATATTTTGATGGTGAGAAGACTTATCATTTAGATCAACTATATAATCCCTCTGTGAAGATGCTGGGTGTTATCCCTACATTCCCAAGGAGGAGACTGTTTGTACGGAGCCAGTTTCTGGCAAGTGAGGAGTCCTCTGCCTTGGCTTTTTGGAAAGTTTACTGTCTATTCAGTATTGAATACTGATAAAAAATTGTTACTAGGCATTTATCAAGTAATAAATGGGCTTCAGATTTGCTTTCTCTTCTCTCATTTTATCCCTACAAGAGAGTAAGGCAGATGTTATTCCTACTTATGAAATAGGGCCCTGGAATATGAAGAGACTTACTTAGATGCCTTAGGTTGTATTAATTACCAGTGTAGAGCTGACTATAAAGGCCATCTGCAATTTTCAGCCCAATATTTTCCCCATTAGACCTACTGACTTGTACATTCTCAATGGCACCCCAGTGTGAAGTTCTGTATCAAGAAAGGGAAATGAAGTTGCATCAAGTTGAGTCCAGTGATCAAAGTTCTGGTACGATCTTAAAGTATTCTATGTATTCAAAAAGTATAAGTATACTATGTATTAAAGTATACTATGTATTCAAGTGGGATTTTTCAGAGCCCTAGATACAAAGGAACCGACTTCCTTTGTGTCAGTGGTTCTCAACCAGGGACCATTTTTGGCTCCCCCAGGAATCACTTGGCAATGTCTGGAGACATTTTTAGTTGTCAGAACTGGGGTGTGTGAGCTCCTGGCATCTGATGGGTGGAGGCCAGAGATGCTACTAAACATCCTGTAATGCATAGAACAGCTCCCCCCCACCCCCGCCCAACAAAGAATTATGTAGTCCAAAATGTCAGTAGTACCTAATAACCCCTGCTGATAACCCCTGCTGTTGTGTATTGCAAGGAATGGATTACCAGAAGCCCTCATTACTGGAACAAATTTGAGTCAGAGGCAATGGGGGATGGGGAGGTAAAGGAGGTGAGTTCAAGTATGGCTGGACTAAGAGAGCTGTTTTGATGAAGGTAGGCGTTAGTTAATTTCCTTTCATTTGCCCTTTCTTTGTGCCAACACTTGGCATAGCAACAGTGGAGAAAGCTGAAGAAAATTGCTCTTCTTGTTCGAAGCTCCTTGGAATTAGTGGTCCCATTCCAAGAGCTAAAGATGTCAGTCAGTCCATGTCCCTGTGACACTTGCAGCTTCACTGTAAATCAGTCATGCATGCTCTCAGGGTCCCAAGATGTCTAGGTACATGACTTTGTTTTTTTGACAAGATTGTAAGAATTATAAACTAGCTAATTTATTTCTCAAGCTATCTTATAATCATAGTTCACATGGGATGATCTGAGTTTTTCACTGTTTCTGTTATCATGTGCCATATGTGAGTTCCTTTGGTCAACATAGAGTTGACCCTTAAACAACTTGGGGTTAGGGGCACCAAACCCCTGTGCAGGCAAAAATCCACGTATAACTTTTGACTCCCTAAAACCTTAACTACTAATAGCCTACTGTTGGCCCGAATGCCTTACCCAATAACATAAATAGTCAATTAACACATATTTTGTATGTTATGTATGTTACAATAAATTAAGCTAGAGAAAAGAAAATATTACTAAGGAAATCATAAGGAAGAGAAAATACATTTACAGGACTGTACTGTATTTATCGAAAAAAAAAAATGTGCCCGTAAGTTGACCCATGCAGCTTAAATCTGTGTTGTTCAAGAGTCAGGTGTACTCTTGCTTGATTTCATTAGTCTAAAATCAGAGAAACATCTTTTAAAAAAAAGCTTTGTTTTTTAGAGTGTTTTAAGTTTACAGCAAAACCGAGTGGAAAGTGCAGAGTTCCTGTATATCCCCTACCCATGCACAAATGTCTTTTGACTTTATTGCAATACTAATTTTCAAATAAACTTTATATAAATGCAAATATTATTCTGTTAATGCAAAATTAGGGGTTCCATAGTTCCAGTACTCACTAAACATAAAGCAAAAGTAAGGAGGAAATTGGTATTACTGAGTTATGGGGTATTTTCTTTTTTTCGATTTGGTGGAAAAGAGGGGCTCAGATCATCTGCATAAGCTTCTTACTGACTTCAGCTACTTAGTTCAAGAGCTTTATCTTCCTCAGAATTTCCCCATGTAGTTATACATCATCTTTTTATATCAGGGGGATTTTATTTCCTTCCTGGGAAGCTTTCCTTGTTTAGAGTTCAGTTTCTGGTTGATTGAAAACCATTTTAAGTTATACAGTCTGACAATTTGACTATTTATTTATTTATTTATTTTTATTTTTTTTAAGATTTTATTTATTTGACAGAGAGAGACACAGCGAGAGAGGGAACACAAGCAGAGGGAGAGGGAGAGGGAGAAGCAGGCTTCCCGCAGAGCAGGGAGCCCCATGTGGGACTCGATCCCAGGACCCTGAGATCATGACCTGAGCCGAAGGCAGACGCTTAACGACTGAGCCACCCAGGCGCCCCAGTTTGACCACTTTTAAGGTTCGAATGTGGCATAGTCACCAAATCTTCCTGTAATAGAGGGTATTTTAGAACTAAAATGATCTTGTTAGTACCGCATGCAGTTGGAGCCAGAGTGAAGATGATGATTGCACTGTTGATTAGAAATCCCCCCCAGCCCCTGAATTGACTGCAGAGTCCAGTTTGTTCCTTCGGCCAAAATATTTGTCTATCCTGCTAATCATGGCCAATAGATACACTATAATGTTGCTGTGTTTATTTTTTGCCTCCTTTTAGTCATGGGTCTTATAGGCCCCTGGCTTTTCCCTTAAGTATTTGACCCATTAAAAAGTCAGTTAATAGTCTGTACCATGTAGATCAAGAGAGAGAGCTTGGTGTTATTAAAAGAAACAACTCAGGTAAGGTCTGGGTTCAAGTCCTTACTATACCAGTCATGTGACCTTGAGCAAATTATTCTGGAGTGTGTTTCTTTATCTGTTAAATGGAGATGGTTCTCCCTGCTATGCCTACGTCACAACATGAGGGTCAAATGAAATAATAATTGACTATGAGAGAGCCTTGTAAATTGTACAATTCAATGCGGATGTAAAGTAGGATGCAGACAGAAGGATGAGTCTTAGGAAACGGCATTGATTGTGAAAGGAAAGAAGGTTTGAGGAATTTATTTTCCCTTATCTTGACTTGTCTATATGGCGTAGATGGCCTCTTCTTCATCTTAGTAATTCAGGGATGACTTTTGTTGGGTTTGGTTGTAGTTTTTTTTTTTTTTTTTCCTTTTTATAAATAAGGTCAGTAGGGTTAAATGCTTCACTTGCTGAAACATGATACCATTTGGCATAGAATAGTAATTGGTGCAAAGCAAAATTATAAAAAGAAAATTCTGAATTCACCAAATAGCATAGACTGCCTGATAGAATATCATCATCATCATCATTGGTGATTGCTAATCAATTCTCTATGCTCTTCTCAAAAACCTCGGTTGATAGTTTGACCTACATTCCTGTTTCCAATGAAACAATTACTCTGGTAGCTGTGCTTCACTCTTTCCCCTCCAACCAATTAAAGCATGTGGATTCTGGATGGTAGTAGATCAAGTTAGTTCAGTCACAATTTATAAAAAGCCTTTTTACATTGATAGTGTCTTGTCATATATGACATTATTCATAAATAGAACCAGAGAATTGACTGTAGGACTCCAGGACTTGAGTTTTAAAATGGTCGGTGGATCTGTTGGAATAGAGTAGGTAGACTGTGCTGGAAATTATCCCAGCTGAAAGGTAGCTTAGCCTCTGCCTGCGCAGCCTTTATGACTAACGGAAAAATACTCTCTTCAAATTCAAAAGCCTATTCATTCCTGCCTTTCTCCTCTGAAATGCATTACCAGTTTTATCATGAGGAAGAACTTAATTATTTTTCCTTTTCTATTGGCTTATGTTTATTCTTCATAAAATGACTTTTCTTCCATTTAACGGGCTCAGAAATGAGCTCCTGTATTGAACTTTGCAGGCTTCATAGAGTAAATCAGCTCAGCCGGCTAAATGCCTCACTGACTGAAACTTCATAATGTAGCTGGAACTCAGTTGTGCTTTGGAGCATGGAGTCTTTAAACTGGATTATTGATTTACAAGCGCAAGATGGTGAAGTGTCTATAGGAAGGATGAGACGCTCCCTCTCCTGATCCTTGAGCAAGTCTTTCCTCACTGATTTCAGGGGCTCTGAGCTCATGAGCAAAATCCTAACCACGTTTATCTTGCTTAGGACAGCCCATCTTTAATGCTCAGTAAAGAAAGAATAATTCTTCTCCCGCTTAACCACTAAAGAACAACATATGTTTCTAACGTCAGCTTTTTATTTTTTTTTTTTTATCTTTCATTTTTTTGTTGGTAAATCTCCCAGACAACAGCAGTTCTGTAGAGAGTTTAAATATGAAGGAATGGCAGGACGGGCTAAGGGCACTTCTACCCAACATTAACATCAACTTTGGTGGACTGCCCAATTCTTCCTCCCCCTCCAACGCCAACCACAGTGCACCAACGTCCAATCCTGCCACCACCGACAGCCTGAGTTGGGACAGCCCTGGCAGCTGGACAGACCCAGCCATCATCACAGGTAACTTTCTCCCTCCTTCAGCCCCACTGACTGCCATCCGTTTGGTTTTTAGCACCGATGAGATAAAAAACAGAGGTCTCTTCAACATAAGCTTCTTTTCGCAAAGCCGCAAGCTTGGGGTGCCCGGTTTCGCTGTCCGGGGTCGTGCAGTCCCTGGGGACTCTGTCGGCCTCGTTGTATGAGACACTTGACGCCTAGGTTGGCTCGTTGGGTGTAAGGAGGTGCTCACAGCATGTATTTTTCAGGTCTCAAAGCACAAAAGTATCTGACTTATCCTTTTAAAGGAACATACTCCACTTTTTAAAATAAAGCTCTCTATTATAAGGCTCTCTTGTGTACGTATCCTCGTCAGAGAAGGAGAAGCGCCATTGGGAAGTGATGGCGTCCAACTGTGGGGACTAGGTTTTGCAGCTCTGCCTCTGTGACAGTGGGGGACAGTGTCTATGTAGTGGAAGAAGAGGCATGGGTTTCTGTCACGATGAATCCTCCTTGGGGGTGGAGGAGCCAAAAGAACATAAGGTTAAAAAGGTCTTCTTTGGAAGGACTTGAAGACTGTAATTTTTCTGTTTCTTTTTCGGTAAACTAATCATACCTGAAACATTCTCTGTTTGCTGGCTTTCTGGTTCTTTCTGCCCAGACTCACCATTTTCCCTCTTGTTTTCTTTTCTCTCCTCAGGTATTCCAGCAACTTCAGGAAACAGTTTAGACTCTCTTCAAGACGACAATCCTCCACACTGGCTAAAATCTCTTCAGGCCCTCACAGAGATGGACGGCCCCAGTGCGGCTCCGTCACAGACCCACCACAGCGCCCCCTTCAGCACACAGATCCCCCTGCACAGAGCCAGTTGGAATCCCTACCCTCCTCCTTCAAATCCTTCCAGCTTCCACTCCCCACCCCCAGGCTTTCAGACAGCCTTCAGACCCCCCAGCAAAACCCCCACAGATTTACTACAGAGTTCAACACTGGACCGCCATTAGGGAAAGAAGAGAAACCATTAGAAAATGCAGGATTTGTCCCACCCTGTTTTCTCCCTCTCAGCCCACCCACCGCTCCCTGCTCATCTCTTACGTTCTGAAGAATCCAGTTCCTGATCAATTTTTTTTTCTCCCCACCCCCAGATGCAATGCGATCACAGGGTCATGACCAGCTTTGGTTTTTTTTTTTTTAATTGTAAAAGTTTCTTTTGATCAGCATTTGAGTGACACTGTTGAATGTTTCCTAAAAATGCCTTTTTTAAGGAGGAAAAAAAAAAAATCAAAGGGCAGTCTCAATACTTAGAAAATTACTGTCTGTCTGTCGCGCATAATAATGACATAATCTGCTTAGCAGAAAATGACGATTAATCTTTAGGAAAGGTCAAGTAAATGCATTATCAACTGCAAAGTTTGAAAACCAGGTTAATTGAAATGAGATTGCTAAGTGCATGGGGGAAAGAAGTGGTCCTGGCATCCATCTTGTATTCAGCCTATGACTATTGCAGGGAAAAATGCTTTTAATTTAATTGAATTTTTAATTCTTTCGGCAAGTTGATGGAGAGGACTTGATTGTGTCGTTAAGCAAAAGAATTTATTGGAAGTTGGTAGAAAGACAAATTGATCTGTAATAGTAACTGGCCTATTGCTAAAGAGTTTATAAGGAGGGGAGAAGTGATTTTTTTTGAAAGGAGAAAAAAATTTTTGGCTTTAGATTTAAAGTAAATTCAAATGTTTTAAAGAAAAAAAGCATTCACAGATTTAATACCTATGCATAACATAAGAGCTGAAATATAAGTAATTTCTTCAGTCTTTCTCCTCTGTCAGAATCTTTTTTTCTTTTACCTTAAATTCGCCTGACTAGGGCACTCTGAGATAGCACTGCTCTGGGGCCATCTGATCACCATCAGGAGCAAATCTCTGACCTCCTTGCCTGCCGCTTTTACTTAACCCTGTAGTTTCTGGACGTTTGTGCAGTATTGAAAAGACAGGAGAAAAGAAAACAGAAACCTGGTTATAACCTGACGCTAAAACTAAAAACAAGGAAATGTACCTCTTTCTTCAGAATTAAAACTAAAATCTTAAATAAAACAGAAAACTTGATGATGACCCTTGGGTTGTTCTTGGTTTTGTTTTTCCATTTTGTTGTATTGTGACCGCAGTCATCAGATGTTTCTGTTGATTTAACGTGTTCAACACTAGGGAAAATGCTACAGAGGAAGAAGTGAGAAAAAGAATTCATCTGATTGTCAGTCTTGGCCATCTTTGAAGATCAGCTCACCTTGTCCTTGAGAGTTGCTCTTCCTGCGGCTTTTGGCAGAAGATACCTCCCTGTGCTATTGTACTATGCAGACCCAACCTTCCCAGCTGAGAAGCCTTATGTGCCAGGAAGGAGCAGATGAGCTGTTGGTGTGCTGAGATGTTGGTTGGCTCGGGAGGCCTCGTGGCACTGGCCAGTGTGACGTGCACGTAGCCGTGCCGTGTGTGAGGGCCGTGCCGGGAAAGAGATTGGGAGACCATAACGTCTCTGATGGAGACATCCCACAGACGGATCTTCGATGGCCAACCCGTTCTAGGGAGTACCTCACAGTGGGAAGATGGTCACACCACTGACCCGAAGAGGGTGGGGGACAGAACGAAGTGTTCCCTACCAGATTCCTAAGATCTGTATGGTTTGCATTTCCTGGCTTGGATTACATTCACAAGTCCAAAGCTGGAGTTTGCACCTTTTCAGCCACATCCAGGAGTGGAATCATTGTCGAATGAATGAAGTAGATCTTCTAAATCATGCATTCTGCGCTTTCAGATTGATTTCTTTTCCTTACCTATACTTTGTACTTCAATTTACTACAAAAAATAAAATGCACAAAGAACAATTTCAACACGGCTTTTGAAAAACATAAACAGGATAGTCTCAGATGTCACCACAAATAGATGTTACCACATGAATAGTAAATTGGTTTTTTTGATTTGTTTGTTTTTGTTTGTTTGTTTTTTAATCAAAATGTTACTGCGATAGAGGACTAAAAACTTCAGATTCTCTTTGTTCTGTGAACTTGGCTTCGGTCTCCTGAATTTTCACATTGCACTACAAAGTGAAGGGTCAACACACAGATAATATTCAGGTAGCAGTGAATTGTAATCAAGGCTTTTGGGGGCGGGAGCTTGGATATTCCTGAGATACGGATATTTCAGTAAAAATGTTGCTTTTTCCTGTAAAAGAAGGGAAATTCGACTTTGCAGTCTGTGCTGTGATTGTTTAATGAATCATACATAAGACTATAAAACAAATATTTAAAGAAATCATAAAAATAAACACCTATGTGCCTACCACCCACGTTAAACATAGAACCTGCACTATCTTAAGGACTCCCTCCCTGCCCGTGTCCACTTACACTTCCTTCTCTCTTTTCACCATCTACAAATAACCATTATCTCCATTTCCATGTTAACCTTTCTTTTCTTTAGAGTCTTGCCGCTTAACGTATGTCTCCCTGAATAATACATTGTTTGGATTGTAAAAGCTGTGCTGTAAACCAAAACCTAGCCGGGTAAGGAAAGGGCAGTACTGTTACTGTTAGATCAAGGCTTTTAGAAGATCAACAAAACCTTCTCTGAGTCATAGTTGGCTTTAGCTTCCCTGATAATTTATATGCCGTAGTGAATCCTGGAAATCAGAGTCCACCATAGTTGGGGCACATGGCGGGGCTGGTATGTGAGTCCAGTCCTGGGTGTCTGGCAGAGACACAGTCTGAAGAAGCAGTCTTCTGTTCTCTGTGTCTCAGCTCACCCTTGCTTCCCTCTGGTCCTCTGGAGTGCCAAAGCATCGCCTGTGGGATTGGGGTGTTTAACGTAGGCTGATCTGTTCACCCTCCGGGGCATGGTGGAGAGAACAGAAATGCCACTAGATTTGGTCAAAATCAGATAAGTACCAAAAAGAACCTGGACCAAACTGACAGGCAGTCTTGACATAAGAGCAGTGGGAATCTTAGTATCGACAGCCCTGGGGACGTGTCTCCTGGGTCACCAGACTCCAATCTAGTGCACGGCTGCCATTCCTGCTACTTCTTACGCCTCACTCCTTTCTTGGGTCTTCCCCCCGCCCCGCCCATCTTCCTATATGTTCCATCCTACTCTCTTTTTTTTTAAGTCTCCCAATTTTGTGGGAGTGACATTCCCCACTAACTTCTTGAGAAAGGTGTGTGGGAGATAAATATTTTAGTAATTTGCATATCTGGAAATACTCTCAGTTGATAGTTTAGTGGATACAGGATTCTAAATTGTAGATATTTTTTTCTCTTTAGAACTTTATAGGCATTAGTCTACTGTCTTCTTGCTTCTAGTATTGCTGTTAAAAAGCCCAAAGCCGTTCTGATCCTTTATGTGTAATCTTTTTTTTCCTCCCTCTCTGGAAGCTTACAAAAATTGTCTTCCATGTTCTGGAATTTCACAATGGTGTTCCTTGGTATGGCTCAATTTTAATTCATTGTGCTACACACAATAGGCACACAGATTTTTAAGATCTAGTAACTCATGTCCTTCAGTTCTGGGAAATTTTCTTACTTCACTAATGCATTTCTTGCTATTATTTTCCCTGTCTAGAAATCCCATTATTCAAATATCAGACCTTCTGGACTTTCCTTCTGCTTTTCTTTTTTTCCAATTTTCCATCTCTGTCTTTTGCTCTTCTTTCTAGGAAGATTTATTACAATGTTATTCTTTATATTTGTAGTTTTATATTTGTAGAGTTGGTTTTATCTATTTGCTTTGATCTCCATCTTCCATATCAGAGACTTCTCAGGTTATCTGCTCATAAATAAGACTATAAAAAGCTGATAGGAAGTTTTGGAAGCGTGAAGCTTGCCAACTTTGGAAGATCTGGATGGGCTCTGTGTTGGAGAACCCCTACTGTCTTTAGGCCTTTTCTCTTGGGCTGGTCAGTTCCATGAAGAGTCATACAAAGGCTGGCCTAAAGGCTAAGGGTCTGACTGCCAAAGTATATTGGTAGTCTGTATTCATTATGGATCTATTCCCTTAATCCCTGTTTTGAGTTCTTTCCTTTCCAGGGATTAAGTCTCCAGATATCTGCCCATTTAGGAGACAAGTGGTTGCACCATGGTGTGGAGTTGGGAAAGGAATCTAGGGAGCTAACTTCTTACAACAGCTTTCTCAGTCATATTTGTTTATAGCCCCACTCTGCATATTTTCCCCTTGGTTCTAGGGGCACCTGGCACTGTCAGTTTCCGTGTTCTTGAAGATTCTATGGTGTAAATTGCGTTGGATCTCAGTTTCCCGAATCTTAGCTTGTGGCTTCTCAGGTCAGCTGAGTTCACTCAACCAATCTATTTTCTAGGTTGCCAGTTTTGTTCTGCTGTCTCTTCTCACATCCTCCGTTTTTTTCTTTATTCTAATTTCAGTAGATCTTAAGGGAGAAATGAAATGAAATATGTAGGTTTAATCTACTATCTTAGTCCAGATTTTACTGTGATTTTAGAAGTTAAGAGGCATAATTTGTCAGGCAATAAGGTAGGGGGAGCTTCTTGCTATTGGCCAATGAGCACTAGCCACCATATTATATATTCCTTGCTTTGAATGGTACCTGCCCACATTTGTTTATCTTGAAGTGGTTTCTCTGAAGAAATTTTTAACATCCTCTTTTCCAGGGAAGCTCTTTTGATTTACAGTCAGTAGTTTGCTTTCCAAAAGCTCGTCACACAGCGGATTACTTAAATGGTTAAAATATTAGTCTGGATGTTAAAAGGCAAGTTTTACTGTAGTTTGGGGGGGGGAGGGTGTTGCAAGTCATATGGATGTGGGTCATTTTCTAGGCTACATTGAATTAGAACAACTCTAGAAACTGCAGAGGAGGCAAGAATCCCCTATCCTTAACTTTATATGAATTGTAATTTGTGAATAGGTAATAACTGTCAACAATGTCTCTCCAAAAGGATTATGCCACAATGGCCAATATAGAGGAGAATGCAGTTGGTGCTCTCGTGCTCTCCCACACGATTGCCTGAACTCCAAGACATGGCGTACACTGCACACGTTATTTGAGTTTTCTAGCTAATTTTTACCAACATCATTTGATTTAGGTCCTTATTATATTTAAGGTATGTGAACTTTAAAAATTTAACTTATATACCTTAAACATAATCGTGAAACATATCCTGTCAGATGGAGTTATTTCTGCCCAAGTGGTCTATCCAAGTGAAAAATGACTCAGGTCATTAGCATGAATTCTTTAAAAAACCAAATACTCATTTTGTTGCAAAAAGCAGTACTCCTTTGTGCTTAACACATTGCTAATTTAGTCCAGATAGAGCCTTCAGACACTCAGGCAGTTTCCTACCAGAAAGACCTGCCTTCAAAAATACATTTCTAGAATTATTTTTGAACAAATCAATTTAAAGAAATGAGTATCTAATTAGAAAAATCCCTTTAAAGGGTAAAATCATTATGTTATTAGGGATAGCCCAAATAAATTGGGAAAGAGTATTAACATTGGCCCAAATGTTTAGGGCACATCTGATAAGAAAGAATTGGCCATCGTAAGGAATGTATTTCACATTTGATCCATCCCTGAGGGAAACTGGGTGTATCAGGCAGATGTTTGTAAGTGTAGTCACGGCACCTCCTTCCACAGCATCCCTTCATAGTTGAAGGAGGTAGGTGTACAAGAGCAATAGAAATTATTCGGCCAAATAGAATTTGTGTGGGGGGGGGCTGGCTGATTTAAAAACCTTGGGGCTTATAAATAAGAGCATTTCAAGAGAAATAATGATCTGCAGCTTTCTTATTTTCACCTTTACTATTCGCAAAACTAAAACGCTGTTATTAAAATGCCATGCATATTACGTATAGTCCAGAAGATTTTTTTTTTTTATTTTGTTCCAGTAGCATGCATTCTTCGGCTTTTATCAGTCTCCATAATATGCAAAAAATAGATGAATAAACCCAAAGTTGGGTTTTTGTCCCAGATCACAGATTTAATAGCAGAGCTAGAACTAATTGTCACCCATCCTCAACCACATTTATCTATGACGTTGGTCATACTCCCTTTTTGTTCCAAAGCTGCAAGTGCTTTGTGAAATTTCTTGTTT